AATGGATGAATGAGCTAACGGTAGATTCGAAACATCTGATTCTGATAGAGCACGTAGGGTACTTGTCTTTCTGTGTCGTTTATTTCACTTCACATAACATCCTCCAGTCCCCTCTGTTTTGCTACAAATGACAGGATTTCATTCTTCTTTGTGGCTGAATAATATTCTATTTCACATCTAAACAAAATTTTCTTTATCCACTCATCCATTTCGGGGTATCTAAGTTGACTCCACATCCCCAGCTGTTGTGAAGAGAGCTAACCGCTTCTCAGCCTTTTGGCTCAGATCAAGTGTTGCAAATAGCACTGCAGGAAGCATGAGCAGGCCGATACCTCTTCGGTGTGCTGACTTCATTTCCTCTGGATACATAATAGGAGGGAGGCGGCTGGATCATGTCAGAGATCTATTTTCAGCATTTTGAAGACTCTCCATTCTGGTCTCCACAGTGCTATCCTAAGTTACATTCCCACCAAAAGTAGGTGACACGTCCTTTTTCTCCATATCCTTACCAGCACTGGATCCAAGAATTGTCGTGTAGAAGGAAGATGATGATGTAAGATCAAAGAGACTAGAGCAAAATTTACTGGCCCTGCATTTGAAGTGGAACCTTCAGTGCCAACTCAATGTGTATTTTATTTTCAAAAGAAAAAGAAGTCACTAGGTCTAGTCAATAGAAGGACTAGAAACAATGTCCCACCAGGAACGTTGAAAACTTCTACCACCCACATTTGGCCTCTATGTGCCACTTAAAGAAATGCGCGGGGGGTAAAAAGAATTGAAGTGTGTTATGGGTATGCCACCAGGAATGTACTCATTATTTACCACAAACATGTACTAATCAAAATAAAAATATAAAGAAAGAACATACAAGATGAAAGAGACAGAGAAAGGAAAAAAGAAAGAAGAAAAGAAAAGAAGGAATGAAGGGAAAGAAAGAGTGGGGGGAGGGAAGGAGAGGAAAGGAAAGGATCCAGGGGGAGAAATGATATGGGAAAAAGGACAATGCAGCAGGGGAGAAGCAAGAAAGGGAATCATGAAGCAGATGCCCATGTACGTACGGAGAACCAAGAGAGTGAACACATATTAAGCCATTCGAACAAAATGTCTCCAGATGACAGGGTGACCACCTGTGTGGACACTGCTGGCTGAGGTGCAAAACAGCACCAAAGCTCCAGGCCACTGTATCAAGTGTGGTCTCCGAAGAGGGTCTGG